GATTTTGTCTTGTTTATGTTCATTACACTTTTACCGTTGTAGTAACGGAAGCAAATAAATATTTGATGCATCGAAACATAACGGAAATGTTCTAAGCGGTGGCGAGGGGGGACTGTGCATTTTGTTGACAAAGGTCGCAGATACATATATAGCTCTATGCGCAAATCAAATACAGATGACTTTCCAGTTCTTGTGAAATACCTGACGCCTAAAGTCGCCAAGTCTGTCGATTTTGGTACAGTAATGAAAGTTGCTGCTGAATGCTTTTCAATAACATCGTCCTTAGGAATAAAGATATCTTAATAATAACAGAAACTTTTCTTACTTTCTTAAGTCATGACGGGGGAGGGGTTTATGTTATTATGATTAAAAAAATAACCATCAGTTGCACATAGTTTCAAGCTAATGGATACAGCAGATATGATGCGTGAATGCCAAGTTACTCTTGAATTAACGAAAATTGCATGCTTGTGAACGCGATTATATCATAAACAATTACACGGACTTGCAAATTGTCATTAAATGATTTAAATAGCTACGTTTCGTAAAGATTACCAAATACTCTTATTCAATTTAGAGTAAAGACGCTGCGAATGCGCGAACAATACCTTGTGATAGTATCTTTACGTGAAAAGATGCCTTTCCCGTAAACAGCCAAATCGCAATTACCTTGGGCAACTAATTCCAACAATAAAGGGGCCGCTTATTGTATACAGAGATGCCCCGCTGATTTTTTGATCTGGTAATGTGGGATTTAAGGATTTGTAGCAAAAGAACCGTTAAATGTCTTGTCACTCTCCTCAATGGTTTGACACGTACAGGTGAAAATCTGTAATACAGGTGAAAAACGAATTACAGTTACGTCGCAATAGGTGAGGTTTAAATTAACGCATCGATCGGCATTTCTTTTGGGTTGTCAAAAAAATGTTTCTCTCAAAAGCTATATTACGCATTTTCTCTGTACTTCAGAATCAATTCATTTGTATGTTGTTTATTTTCGTTATAAACTGTTTCAAGGTCTTACAAGAAAAAAATATTGACAAAAGTTGTATAACAATAAGTTTGATCAAGCCGTGGTTTGTTACTTGAATTTCAGGAAATAGTCCGTCAATAATTCTAATGCTTCTACTATTCACGACGTTCAACATCGCCTTTTACATAGTTAAATAACAAAAGCGTACATGTTAATTGATTTTAATTTACTCACTTATTCAATCATTATTTGCAACTTGGCAAATCTGTATAGACCTGTTGGTTTGTCTCCTGTATTTCATTTGTATATAAATATATACGTTTGAATGCCGCTCTCTTTAAAATCGACTTGTATATATACTCGCATTTAGTTTCATTCAGTGAATTACTGAATTCAAAAAATAAAGGTCACCTTTTTGGTAGACAATAACCTTTAAGGACATGACTGGTGACATGTCCGGGGTCCGTACCCGCAGTGCCTGAAAGAGCGGATGGACCCTAATTAAGCCTAGAATACATACATACATACATACATACATACATACATACATACATACATACATACATACATGTACATACATACATACATACTGCTCTATTTTATCATTTACGGAGATTTTCTCGTTTGCAATCGCTGTTCTAGCTACCCTAGGCGATGTCTATTTCTTTGTTATCATTATTTTCTTTACACGTACTTATGAAAACATTTATATAATGTTGAAATTTATATTTTGAAACTCTTTGCGTCAAGTAATTAAATCATTTTGGCGGTTAATTATTGAATATAATGTTGCACTATACGAGGGTTGTCCCAAAAGTCCGTGACAAAATAATTCACACATATAACCGTTAAGTTTATTATTTCACATTACAACAAACCATTTACAAAAAATTTACCCTAGTTACTTAGAAATTTTCAGTATTAACGGCATTGGTTTGAGTTGCCGGCGCACGTCAAATAATTTACATTTTGTTATGAATAGGCTGAAATTAATTACGTATATTCAGGCCCGTCGTCACGATTTTGTGATTGATGCGGCCAATTTGGTATGTTTTAGCCAGAATCTAGGGGGGTACGGGGGCATGCTCCCCCGGAAATTTTTTTATTCTAGGATGCTCTCAGGGGCGTTTTCCCGTATATTTGGCGCAGTTTACAGCCTGTCGCTAGTACAAGTTATAGTAATATGTTAACGATTTTTTACAGATTTTATGTATTTGATATTTGGCAAATGAAAAAAAAAACAATAACTAATGTTGTTATAATTCTTTAGATACATTTTTATCTGATAATTATAAATAAACAAATACAAGAAATATTACAGTACGTGGATTATTGTTTAACATAAATCACACAATGGTATAAGCTTAAATAGCAGTCGATGCCATGATGGAAGAATAGTACATTACGAGTCAACAATAACCGCTTTTTGTTTAGCAGTAAACTTGTATTTTGCTCACAATAATCTTGCAAAAATCAGAGTCTCATTTTATGTAAAATTTTTCCAAAAAACACATCGCCGTCGTTCTCTGGTGGTAATGAACTCATCGGCAATTACACGTAAGTTGAGTGAATCTGGTCCTGTAAATTATGAATATGTTACACCCATTAGATTGTTCAAGCGTACTTGAGACATTGTCGATCTCAGGTATGTTTATTCTTCTGAGCGCCGAGAATGTCCTTTCACTGGTAGCATTAGTAGCAGGCATTACTAACAAAACCTTTAACAACAAAACGACCTTTAGATAACAGTGCTCGTTCTAGGCACCGGGACTGTACTGAAACAAATTTTCAAAAGAGTCAGGTAGGCGAGTTAACAGTAACTATTTCCTGTTTTTTGTCAAAAAATGTGAACGTTTAGCAGCTGAAGCTGCACCTCTAAGAGGTCTCGTTTAATATCGTTTGCAATAGAAATTACAAAACACAAAACCAAGTTTTCTAGTGTACTCGGTCTTCAAAGGTTGTGCGGCCTTAATGAGTAAATCTTCCACGTTCTGAAGTACGCGATATCCCGGTTTGTCAAATTTCTCTTTTAACATTGGCCATTGTAAGATCGAAGTGCTTCAAAGTACTTAGGCCGGAACACGTCCTGCACTGTAATTATGTAATAGAGTAAATTGAATTTGTTTTACTACTGAATTTATTTCCAAGAGCTGAATGAAAATATATTACACGAGCCTCTGGCGAGTATAATATTTTATTCAAAGAGTTCAATACATTCAGTATGAACTTACACGAATTTAATATTTCTGTTTATTACATAACCAAAATTAAGGACCTTTTTAAAAGTGAAAAAAAAGAAAACCATTTTCATTGACGCCCATAGAAAAAATAACATCTTCAGTTTGTATAACGCAAATGACGTCAAAATATATGCACGGCCGTGCAAATACCATTTTCACGGTCAATATGATTCAATATGACTGTGATAAAAAATATGACTTTTGAACGGTTGCCGTGTACAATCAATAAAAAGTTATCAAGTTCTCGGAGAATTCAGGCATACTAGTTTAAGATATTCATAATGCATATTGCAAATCTCATGCACTGTTTTGTTTTTGTTTTGTTTTTTATATCATAATATATATAACATTGACGAAAAAATGTACTCACCAAATGTTCGTTTTGGTTGATTTGGTTCCGATAGAATTGTGTCACACATCATGGTATTTTAACAATCTTAAACTATTCATATTAAGATACTTGTATATGAACAGATGTAATTTATTTAAAGAATTGTAAACATATATATGTGTGTATTCAGGATTACTCCTATAATATACGGTGAACTGTCCGAAGCCACGTCGATGTCTTGACTTCGTGGGACCCTTACATATACCTGGTCAATTAACAGTGTCCAGTTGTTTCTTCGCGTCATGTTTGTATGTTACCGCGCATTGCATAAGGGGCCAGTTAAGTGTCTAATTGCTAATCAGCGATGCGTGTTTTTTTTTCTCTTTTTTTAAAACTCATTTTTGGCCAAAATATTGGTCCGGCCAGGGCCGGACCGGCCGGACCATCGACGACGGCCTTGATATTTCAAATATCTGATGCTGTGTCTGCACAATGTCACGTTGACTTCTTCTGCTGCTATGTTTAAATCATCTCTGAAATTTTAGTTAAATAACTTAAAAAACGAAAAAGATACGAATAAATGAAAATATCTCATATAAAATAGGAAAGTTAAAATGTCGACGTTCGAAGAATTTGCGGCGCAGTGAACTTGTCACTCAGGTTTCATGACTATTTCGAGATGACACATGTAACGTTTTTCAACAAATATACCAAATATAACAGTTTAGCAACATTTTCTGAGCATTTGTGTACAAAAGGCATGAACGGAACCAGAGTTTTGCGCTACAAAAAGCGAAAATAAGGAAAGACCGATCTTCGTCGCCTATTTCCTGAGTAACGAAACCGGAAGTTCGCGTATAGCAAAAATTAATGTATGCCATTAAACATTCAACAGACATTAACAACCACATGATTTAAGTCAGAAATTGACGTTTTATGGGTACCATTATTGCGTTGAAAGCCATTGAGAGTATTTTAGAAAGGCGCCTTATATAGATTTAACGCCGTCTTTGACGTTGGACGTGCGCCGCGATTCAGTTAGTTGCCATGGTGTTTATGGCATCTTTTTGTTGTTTGTTGATATTTATCTATGAAAATTTGTGAAAATGTTTAAATTATATGGGTTTATAACATATTAAAATATCAAAATCGTACCTGTTTTATTTAGCTTTTAATCAATCTTGTCACAGAATATTGGGACAACCCTCGTATGTCAGTAAAAGGTAAAAAAGTAAAATCGTTCCTACGTCCAAAATTTTAGGCCTACTAATTTTTCCTTTTGACATGCAAAAAAACAACATTTATATAATCTTAAAATATTTTGAAACTCTTTCTTTGACATGCAATTTTTTTACTAGAACCTATTTCAGAGCCTACTTTTTATTCTTAAATGATCCTCAACCTACGGATACGAAAGTTGACCGGTTGTGTTGATTAGAACATATTCCTTGTTAACAATCGCAACATTTTACGTGGAGTCTGACCGGCGTGTTTGACTCATTCGCGCCAAAATTGACCTTCATTTCCTGGAATGGCCGTTGCAAAAAGGTAAATAGGAAAAAGTGAAAACTATTAAATGAGGTGTTGATTTAGTATTACAATAATGTAATGAGTGTCGCTTGTATTTTCTAAAAGAAATTTTATGGAACGGCAACCATTGCAATCGCTTACGGTGTCGTCTGCAATTTCGTTTCTGTTCACATGACTATTTTGGCAGGAAACGGGGTTATTTCGAATAATTAGAATAGTGTGGATATGGCAAATAAATTGTATTTAATTGTATTGATGTAATTACCCCTGTTGTAGGCAGGCAAGTGTTTTACTGACACTGGAAAGTGCAAAAAATGTTTCTTTTTAAAGGGAAAAAGCTGGTGTTGATCTATCCTACTTTTTAAAGAGAAATGATTATTGATAAACCTGTATATTAATCTATAACAGAATAATTAAATGCAGCATATTATAAGATTTTTAAAAATTTTACTTTCCTGATTCAACCAGGAAAGTGACTCAATACCTATCACTATTAATTTTAAGTACAATATAGGAAACACTCCTTAGACCATGCCATGTGACAAATTCACTTATAAGACTCATTAAAAAAACATTGTCCAAAAACACAATAGAAATATTCACAAAGTCCAACCCAAATCCTAACATTTGTAACCTTCCTTAAGCTTTGTAGAAAGTTGTTTTTCTGATTACGGCCTTAGAAATAACAATATCTCTAATGTTTTTGCACTGAGTAAGAAGTTATAAAAACATTATTTCATCAAATCAAATGTCTTTTTATTGAAATTATCAAAAAAAGGCTGTGACTGTACAGTACTAATATATATTTTCTAAATAAGGCTACATAGTGTATGACTATATAAAGGCATGGTCCATTAGAGTCAACGCCAACTATATGAAGTTAGATCAAAAGAAATTCGCCTACTTATCATCAATGAATTTTTTATGCTAAAATGAAAATCATTAGGATAATTTTGAAATATGGCTATATTCACTCTGTAAAGAGTTTTGAAATTGATTTGATAAGTTTAATTATTTCACACTTGTGTGACCTGAACTCTGTGACCTAAAATTTTATGTTTTCATGTTAATTTGTTTGTTGAATAATTTCCATAATTTCCAATTTGTTCTCAATACATTATTTACATGCTGCCATTTGCATGGTTCACTTTCATATTCTTGCATAAATTATTTTAATGTTTGTAATAAATGAAAATTGGTTTGTTGAAAAGTTTGTTTGCCAACAATCCCCCCCCCCCTCAAAAAACCCAAAAAAAACCAAAACGATTGAGGCCTTGATTTATTAAATTATCTTTCTGCTCTTTCATTCAATAATTTAATTGTTCTGTAAAAGTGCATTAAAATCAAAGGTTAATAATATTTTTATTTAGATATTTAACAATATAAAAAAAAATCTGTTACTATGATTTTCAGGCATTATTTAATAAGATGGCAACTTTGGATACTACAGAGCTCTCTTTTTAACTGGATTAATCCTACGAGTTTCCTCTCATGCAGAATTTATAATTATTTCTAGTGGGAATATATATATACACTAATGACTTAATTGCTCTTAATGTTGATAATTGCTTGCGGAAAGTCTTGTTTATAAGTCGGTGGTTCTACTAGGGTGCCTGCTTGTTCCAGAAATAATGCACAAGTTTGGGCATCTAAGGTCTTCCTGGTGGAAAGTCGCCATATTACCTATACTATATTGGTGTGACATAAAACCAAACCAAAAAAAAAACTTGACGCAGAGAAAAGGATTGAACCAGTGGTATACCTTGATAACAATTATCAAATGCACTCCCTAATTAGCAAAGTGGTCGGCCATAATTATCAAACATTATCTTGTACTCAAATAATGGAAATGACTAAATCATTGATAACAAATAATGATAATAAAAAGTCTTTAAAAAAATCCCAGTCATTTCACAAATGAAGGATTTTTTTTCTATCTTTCAAGCATAGAAAAAATTTAATGAAGAAGATTTGATTTTCATTTTAACCAAATATAGACATGAAGGCTTCCAAACTAACGGTAATATTAGTCAGATATTGAACATTTTGAAATAGTACAAGTTCTCATTTGGCACGCACAATAGAATTGTGGTCGTTTTGCGGTTAAATAGTATCCATTAATTCATAAAAAGTACAAGTTTTTAACCAGAAAATGTAACCACATTGGAATTGTGGTGTAAACCGTGGGTAGAAGATCCTATTTTGTCAAATGAAGCGAAAACGTTAAAATAACTCTAAAAGGGGGGATCAAACAGTAAAAATATTATTTCATCATTTAATTCAGTTACACACCTGATTGCTCACGTCAGTTCGGAGCCGTTTTTTCAATACAATGCTCTTCCTGGGTACAATGATTTTTTTAGTTTATACAATTGACACTAAAAATAGTAATTTTGATGATTTCCGAGTATTGAAGGTGAACAGAGTATTATGGGTATTAATGATAAAATAACGAGCATGCAGTGGCTAAAGATGACACTTTGTGGTTTTTATGTGGAACAGATTAGAGGTTACTTGTTGAAAAACAAATCTCTAAAATGTTTAATGTTTTTGTGGGTGATGATTTATTTAATAGCTATAATATATTATAATAAAAAAAATGAATGAAGAACTTTCAACTGCCACTTTATATTAGATATAAATAAAACCATGAAAAACTAGAATTGAATGCAATATAAATTAATAGACAGTAGATCAGTCATATATAGAATCTGATACAATAATGAAGTATCAATTTATTAAATAAATTGGGATACTAGTCTATAGCTATTACCAAAATATGTTAAGTGTTCTACTCAGTATGGCCTGAGTTGTGTGTCAATGCCGTTAAACCTAAACAAACAAATAAAACAAATCAAAATATTAAATATGAAAAGCCATCAGATTGTGGTATCATCTCTACAAGTTACTTGAAGATATAATAACTCTGTAACCGTGCTGCACCCATACACGCCTAGTGAATAGTCACGAGGTACCATATACTTAAAGATTTTCAACCCCCTAGTAAAGGACCCATCCGACTGAAAGGACAGCTAGTTTTAACCAAAATGGATCGAAAGTTTAGTTTAGTTTTGGCACCAAAACATAAGCACTGGAAATTGATCCGTCAGTTTTGAGACAGACAAAAGAAAAAAAGCTCTGCAAGAGATTAAAAATGCTTATTTCCCCACTCCCCGCCATTGTTCTAGTGCATTAACTTTTACAATTATTCTTCCAATTTGTCATATCTTTCTTATTTACATTTCAGAATTTATTAATTAATTAAAAATCACAAGTTATTAGTTTTATAATTACTTGTACAGAAAAAATCTCATATTTTTTTACGATTTACATTTTTGTTCCTTTCCAATAATTGCAAGCATGATTTCTGATTGAACATAATCAAGTTTCTTTTCCTTTTTTGCTCTTGTTAAATAATCAACCCTATTAATTTGAACACTCCGGTGTCAGGTGACATTTATTAGCCCTCTTTTTTTTCTTGATCGGTCATATTTGATTTATTGGTACTACATACATTTCGATGATAAACATTGTATTCATTTGATTACATTAAATTTACAATGAATTACTACATGAGTTCAACCAGTACAAAACCACTACCATACAAATACATCAGCTGGTTTTATTAGAATATATACATATGTGATATAGTATACGCCATATAAGGAAGAAAATTATGGTGGGCGGGGGTTGAGAAAGATGTAAACAAACCGTACGTAGTAAATCAGCACCGATCAGGCCAGGTGATTCTTTGATGAATTTACGAGCAGTTATTTTGTTATTGTATCTTTTTGTGTACTCGTACCTATTAAACCTAGCATATTGACATCCAACATACAACGTATTTAATATGAAATATATTTACTATTTCAGAGGAAAGAAACGATCAGAGTAATAAAAATAGCCAAACAAGTAAAGTAATTTTGATAAAGGTAATTATAAACACCATGTATTGTAATTTCTATCCGCAAATATTCTTTAAAAAATATGAATTTCATTTGTACTTTAATAGCTTTTGTGATAAATCAAAGAAAACCACAAAATATGTTATCTATAAAGAGATTTTCAGGAAAATTGTAAAAAATAGTGGGTCTGAGGTTTTAATGCTTTATTTGTTTTATTTTACGAAAACCGCACTTTGTCGGGGTACACACCCAAACTTGGTATGAAATTGTCCTCAAACTAGACCAGTTATGAATGGATCCCATTATTACAATTAACAATGTTTGAAAGATTAACTTAAGTGATATGTATGAAATGAACTTTGTATACTATGGTCACAACTGTTACCTGATATTTGCTGATTTTACTCCGATATATAATGATGGTATTTTCAACCACCTATATTGTTTCATATCCTTCATCCTTTCTTGCCATAAGATATATGAGCCGCGTCACGACAAAACCAACGTAATGTGTTTGCGACCAGCATGGATCCAGACCAGCCTGCGCATCCACACAGTCTGATCAGGATCCATGCTGTTCGCTATCAGTTTCTCTATTTGTAATAGGGTTTATAAGCGAACAGCATGGATCCTGATCAGACTGCGCGGGCTGGTCTTGATCCATGCTGGTCGCAGACCCATTATGTTGGTTTTGTCATGACGCGGCTCATATGTAGTGTGACAAATTATTCAATCAAACCCTTCAAATATTAGTGGTCTAGTGGTAAAGGGTGTTCCATATCACAGTGGTCAAATCAGATTGTTGGTCACAGTTTTAAATTTTCTATGAAGAGGGATGGGGACAGCTAGTAATTTAGCAAGGAAAAATCAAATACATGTGATTTACAACAGATTGTGTGTTGCGGAATTGTTTGAAATTAAATTAGAACTTCTACTTCAGTTTGAAGGATTTCAGTCTAAAATTCTTAAATTGCCCACTTAACAAAAAGACTTCTAACAAATTAAGCTTAATTAGGCTATATTTTGTGCTAGCACTCAAAAATTTGCTCCATCAAATTTACAAATGTACACATTCAGGGCCTTTATCCCTTCTATAGCAGGGGTCATTATAGGGCTGCTTCCCCAAAGAAAAATTATTTGAAATCATGCAGTTTTACCCAAAATTGTTTTTTCTTTCCCTTTTGCAAATATACTGTGTTTCTTTTTTTCAGTGCTGCCCATGTACACTGTTACATGCATTTCATAAGGAAATTTACCTTATGTACACTGTTACTTACAGCCTACATTGACTTAAACAGCTTCTTATGAACCCAAAAATAAAGTCTTCAATAACTTGTCACCCACTGAACAGAAACCTTTCTCTTTAAAATGTCTTAACCTCTGACAGATGATAGTATTTCATCTTGATTTTAATTTAAATGGTATTATAACATATTAAACTGTTGCGGTTTATGTTTATTGTTTGTTATTTGTCTGTCTCTGATTGTGTTATTTGGTTAAGTGTCATGTTTTTATGAGGTTAATGAGTTTTTCTTTCTATATATCAAATCTAATTCCGCAAGAACGTGCTTCATCATATTAGCAGGCAAAAGAATTATGTTTTTTTGTGAAAACTTTAAAAAACAAACAAACTTGTTTGTTTGGGTTGGTTTGGGGAAAGTTTGAAATGATGGTATTATAGTCATTACTGGCAAATGGTTAATATAACCAGTGCATCACAATGTCTGGACCAGTTTATATTACCAGTGCTCCACAATGTTTTGACTTTGACCAGTAAATGCTACCAGTGCTTGAATGTTTTATATAACCAGTACTCTGCCGTCTCTTCACCAGTTTATATAACCAGTGCTCAACCATGTCTAGACCAGTTAATATAACCAGTGCTCCACCATGTCTAGACCAGTTTACATAACCAGTGCTCCACCATGTCTTGACCAGTTTATATAACCAGTGCTCCATCATGTCTAGACCAGTTTATATAACCAGTGCTCCTCCATGTCTTTACTTTGACCAGTAAATGTTACCAGTGCTTGAATGTTTTATGTAACCAGTGCTCTGCCGTCTCTTCACCAGTTTATATAACCAGTGCTCCACCATGTCTAGACCAGTTTATATAACCAGTGCTCCATCATGTCTTGACCAGTTTATATAACCAGTGCTCCACCATGTCTATACCAGTTTATATAACCAGTGCTCCACCATGTCTTGACCAGTTTATATAACCAGTGCTCCACCATGTCTAGACCAGTTTATATAACCAGTGCTCCACCATGTCTAGACCAGTTTATATAACCAGTGCTCCACCATGTCTTAATCAGTTTATAAAACCAGTGCTCCATCATGTCTTGACCAGTTTATATAACCAGTGCTCCACCATATCTTGACCAGTTTATATAACCAGTGCTCCACCATGTCTTTACTTTGACCAGTAAATGTTACCAGTGCTTGAATGTTTTATGTAACCAGTGCTCTGCCGTCTCTTCACCAGTTTATATAACCAGTGCTCCACCATGTCTAGACCAGTTTAAATATCCAGTGCTCCACCATGTCTTTACTTTGACCAGTAAATGTTACCAGTGCTTGAATGTTTTATATAACCAGTGCTCCATCATGTCTTCACCAGTTTATATAACCAGTGCTTCACCATGTCTATACCAGTTTATATAACCAGTGCTCCACCATGTCTTCACCAGTTTATATAACCAGTACTCCACCATATCTTGACCAGTTTATATAACCAGTGTGCTTCAAATGTTGCTTGACCAGATTATATATCCAAATCTTGACACCAAGCATAACGTCTCACAATAAGGAGTTGATCAATTTATATAACCAGTGCTCCACCATGTCTTGACCAGGTTATGTAATCAGTGCTCCACCATGTCTTGACCAGTTAATATAACCAGTGCTTTACCATGTCTTGACCAATTATTGTAACCAGTGCTCCACCATATCTTGACCAGTTTATATAACGAGTGTGCTTCAATGTCTTGACCAGATTATATATCCAAAGCTTCACCGTGTTTTGACCAGTTAATATAACCAGTGATCAACCGGTTCTTGACCAGGTAATGTAATCAGTGCTCCATCATGTCTTGACCAGTTAATATAACCAGTGCTTTACCATGTCTTGACCAATTATTGTAACCAGTGCTCCATCATGTCTTGACCAGTTTATATAACCAGTGTGCTTCAATGTCTTGACCAGATTATATAACCAAAGCTTCACCATGTTTTGACCAGTTAATATAACCAGTGCTAAACCATGTCTTGACTCGTATAAAAAAGAAAATGTTTGGAAACACAAGTTCTTTATAAAATATATCTCCAACTGCTTCTATGGATTCTGTTTTAGTGAAGGAAAGTGCAGTACGTCTTACTCTTCTTTTAAAAAAAACAACAACAAAAAAACAATCTCCATAAACATTTATTATTTTAAAGGATGGTATGACATGTAATGTTCATCATTGCCTAATTATAATAAGGCTATGAGGACTGTTAAGACTTGGGTTGAACAAAATAATCTTTTATAACATGCTTTATACCCTTTCCGCAGTCCCGGGAGACTAAATGGTTTGAAGACTTTAATTATGTTTGAGTACAAGAACACCCTACAACGTTAATATTAATAATTATAAGTCAAGTATATTTTCTTAAATTATATCTATATGAAAGGTTTCAATTTATAAAACTTTTTTTTTTCAAGCATGATTGACAAGTGCCTTGGGTTCAATCATTGTATGAAGGAGTTATTCCATGAAACGTGATTACAACTCTGTTTACAATAAAACCGTAGTCCGAATAAATCGAATAAATCGTCTTTTCAGCGAACGGATATGTTTATATTCATTGAACTTTTATTAGTGTTTCAAATTAGGGTTTAGAAGCTACGCATGTTCTGTTTGTATTTGTCCGTCTTTGAAAACACTGTTTAGTTTGTCATACAAGGTTTTGATTTTCAATGCGTCTCAAGTGCATTTTGCCTTTGAGACGGTGCAATTCGGAAGCCTCGGAGTTTTGAAGTTTTATTTCAGTGATTAGAATAGTCATGAATAGTCAATAGATACTTTAACTCGATCTTGCTTTCATTTGGAAACTTTTTAAATGAAGGTTTCGCCTATTTAATTATAATGCTGATAAATGTTCATTAGGAAAATGTCTATACTCAAATCATTTTGACTTGCAATATAACAAGGCCTCTTTCATTAAGAGAAAAATGTATTTAGATGTAGGTCTTTGAGCAAACCTGTTGCCTACAGCAGCGTGCTATGACATTGTGACCTCAGATTTGTATAAATGTTTTATTCATTTCTTCACTTCTGTTATGGTTATTATCTGTACTCTACAATTTCTTTTATGAACAGTTCATTTAACCACATACAAAAGAAAAAATATCAAATATAACGGATCTAATAAAGTGCTTAACTAGACGTGTTTACCTATTTACCAATCATGCAAGTTTATTGCTGTTTATACTGCATTGCTAAAGTGCAAGAAGTTTAGCTGCACTTCAGCAACCATTCTGTAAATTATTCAACCATTGCACTTAAATTAAAGATTCATTTACATTTATATTGAATTTAAAAGGTTGCCTGATGTAAAATAGTTTTAAAAATGTGAAGAAAAAAACCCCACAGCAACAGAGCTACTGCTGCTATTATTTGAACATAATCAGTTTCGCTTTATGTTTTATTGTTTCTTGAGGCGGGTGTCCTGAAAAAAGGCTATTAACATTTTGTATGATCAGAAATGAAGTAAAAGATCTTGTCATCTGAGTGTACAGTCACTGTCCTGTCATGGGGGTGTCCGTGGCTGAGTAGTTACGGTTGCTCACATCAAACCACTTACCTCTCACCGTTGTAGGTTCAAGTGTCTTCAGACTCTTTCATGTGAGAAAGCTATTCCAGGTAGCTTATGGAATGTTGGTGGTTCTACTTTGGTGGCATTTGTGCCTGAAATAACTAATAGAGGCGCACCTGAGGTATTCCTCCACCAGTAATGCTAGTTTGTAGCCATATACTGCCTAT